CAGGTGATATTTATATAGACTGTTAAGTGTCGAGATATGGGGAGTTCATTTTATCCAGTTTGGATTATCCGTTATTCTAGCTATGTCTGGAGGTTAGGAGAAATGGTATGACCTACGAGAGAAATCTATATCGCAAAGCTATCGTAGAGCTATAGAATTATCATCAAATCGCTGAAAAGCAGATTTAACTAATCTGACCAGACAATCCGCAATTTGCTAAATGTTTATGCTGGGGATGTAACCTGTGTGTTTGTTGTTCACCAGCTTGACTGCGTGACTCGTGACTCTTGGGAAGTTTCTGGGCTATGCTAGAAAGATTATGCTGTACACTTTCAGCAGCTGTAAAGTCGTTAGTTTCTTCGCTGTTGTATGGCGCCGAGTGGACGACCAGCTTCTGCTGGATGTTTGCACAGTTGTGTTGATTTGCACCTGGTTGTAGTACCGTTGCAGGCATAGGCAAGAAATTTTTGTTGTAGAAAGCCGCAGTTCATTTCACTGATTTCCCGTATGGATGCCTATGCTATAACGCGCTTCTTTGGCAATAGCAGTGTCAGCATTTGTTTACATATCCATCGCCGACGGACCAAGGGTTTTATCGCCGCTTCACCTATCCTTCATTATCTTGAAAGGTTTCGCTTGACCTTCAGTAAATCTCTCATTTCATTCTTCTGATGTTGAATGAACGGTTACATTCCCTGGTCATTTCTGGGTCCATAATGTTTGAGTAGAGAGCGGGGCTACTCAGTTAGTTCAGCGTCAGGCCCCAAACCTACAAGGTCCGGGTTCGAGCCTTAATCAAGTCATTTGGCTGTCTTCCTTCCCAAGTTGATGAAAGGGAACTTTTTCGTGAGAAAAAAAAACAAGAGGCTTTGCACTATATTTGCCTCTTCGTTGTAGATTGCAAAACAATGCACCCTTCTCTGATGTTATGCAAACAGAGATAAACTTTTCACCATAAGCTTCATAAACTTTAGGACGAATGACCCCCAAGGTAGACCGACATCCCATCGATTAAATGACTGCAGAATTCCGTTTTTCTTTTACTTAATTCTGGCCAAAATTCATTTAAATTTTCTTCAACTTTGTATTCAGGATATCCTTTCCTTCACGGTTTGGTGCAGAGAGATTTGCCCGCTGCTGATTGATGACTGTTGTTTCTTTTGTTAACCATTTAGACGTTCATAAAATCGTGGCTGAAGTTGAGGTGAAT